GCCACGAGTTACCAGTGAAAAAAATTTTTTCCGAATGCTTTCCCATGTCATTATTACTGTTTGATTTTTAGAATGCTGTTTTTAACGCCAGGTGTTTACACGGGATGCTCATGTGGTTATGTGCCTTTCCCAGGTCCTTAGCATCACAGTTCCCCCGTGTTAAACACATTTTCTGTAGTCTCCAGCCCCAGGAGATACTGAACAGTAGCAGCTGGAGTCGTATGAGTACGTGTATGCACGCGTGTGTTACTTCCTGTCGTGTATGCACGCGTGTGTTACTTCCTGTCGTGTAAGCACGCGTGTGTTACTTCCTGTCGTGTAAGCACGTGTGTGTTACTTCCTGTCGTGTAAGCACGCGTGTGTTACTTCCTGTCTTCTACCTCTCTCTGCCCCGGAAGGAGTGTGTTCTAAAACAAAGTTCCTGGGAATTACTTTACTTCTCCTTACTATATCATATTAAAGACTATATATTATATTGAAATAACACTTAATTGTTAAAGTACGGAGAAATTTCCTTCTTAATTATCGCTGCTAGTTAGATGTGCTTCAGGTTATACTGAGGCCTTGGGGACTTGCTCAGAGAATAAAATTTTTATTATTTTAGTGATAAAATTAGTTACTGCTCATGGCTCCAGAATGTTCCTGCTCTCGCTTACTAGATTCTATTGCTTCCTTCATGAGCTACGTAAACAGAAAGTGGGATGTTTCTGTTTTTGTTTTCCAATTGGGGTAAATGAGGTATAGAAGTTACAAATTCCGAACAGCTCTCTTACAGTCTCTGTGACAGTCCATAGTGGTGCGCCATATAACTCTGCTCTTTGTCACTCTAAATTCTATTTATTTGTTTGTTTGTTTGTTTGTTTGTTTATTGAGGCGCGGCAACCCTTGATTGACCTCACAGACTGCAAGGGCCTTGTCAGCTTACAATCCCTTATTTTTTATTTTTTTATGCCTACAGCACCTGGTCTTCCTAGGTGGTCTCCCATCCAAGTACTAACCAGGCCCAACCCTGCTTAGCTTCTGAGATCAGATGGGATGGGGCTTGTTCAGGGTGGCGTGGCCGTAGAGCGTCACTTTAAATTTATGATCACACAGCTCAGATGGGATCTCTGAGAAGCAAGGCAGCCCTACTATGCTTTCCTGGTAAATTCGTTTTCCCCGCATTCAGACTTGACTCAAATTTACTTTCCTCCTGCATACTTCCTCAGACTTTCTTCTTACCTTCTCTTTCCTGCATTCTGGATCAGTCAGAATAGGCCAGACGATGCTGCAGTAACAAACAACCCTCACATCTCAGCGGCTCCACCCAACGCTCCTGTGCGTTTTCCGTATCACTTGTGGGTCGGCAGAGAGTCACGACCCATTAAAGTAGTAACTCAGGAAGTTAAGCTGCCACCAGCCGGTCACCATGCTGAAAGGGGACAAAAGTGTTCTGGAGGGGCTGGCACTGACAATGAAACACTCCAGGCTAGACGTGACCGCCATCGTTTCTCACTGACCGGAAGCAGTCAGACGTTTCCTCCAACAGGAGAGGGCCAGGAAGTTCTCCATTGGACCCCAAAAGCTGCTGGGCGATGGGGGAGGAATCCAGAACTATTTGGCAGTCAGCCCCAAGGACCAGCACATATTCTGAGCTAGTGATTCGTCTTATGTTTTCACCGAGAAAAATGGGAGTGCCCCTCTCCCCGCCCCTGCCCCTCCCAGAACCCTGACGCTCTGTCATCGGCCTGTTTTCAAATTTCCAGACCTGTGCGAATGTGTATCTTCTTTCTCCTCCTAGCCCGTTCCAATACAGGAAGTATCATTTCTCCTTTCCAAACGTTTTTGATCACATACTTCTGGCAGTAACCGACTTTGAGCGTCAGCAGTGGTGAGCCCACTCAGTGTTTAAGAGTTGCTTCTGTGGGGGAGCAAAACAGCCTTGATGTTTAGAATTTCCTGGTTTCAGTGGTGTAAATTCTCCACCGTGGCCAATTGCGACGTCCCAACGCGGCGTCGCTGAACGTGCAGCTGGGCCGGGTATGTGCACAGCAGGCTTTCTCGATATGCAGTCACCGCAGCTCACGGCACGCATGCTGCAGTCCCATATGTCTGTACGCAACTGTTTGAGTAAAGCTGGATTTCTTTCTCTCTTTTTTAAGTTGAAAATAAAACAGGGCTACTTAGCCGTCCCCCCGACCCCCAACTCTAGCGGATTCCCTGCACGTTTCCCGGGGCTCATCTACCTCGCGTGCGAGGCCGCCATTCTCGGCGCTCAAGGACGTCGCACCCGCGGTCGGTCTCCCCCTCTCCGGCCACGGCAACCTCTTCCTCTCGTGTCGTCCCCCCGAGTGTGCCGGCGGACTCTGGTGCGCTCCGCCGCTCCTGCTGTCCCACCGTCCCTCGGTCCGGCGTTCCCCTTCGTCGGGAGCCCCGTGGTCCCCTTCTCCTTCGCGGCAGAATCACTCCGGGCCTCTCCGC